GTTGATTCTTTTTATGATCAATTGACAAGTAATGTGACTTTCCAAATATGCAGACAAAAACAAATTTCTTCCCTCCTTCCATCGACCCCTTTATTTTAATTCTAGTTTGAGGCCTGGCTGAGAGGGAGCATAGAGACCCCAAGTCTTGGCTGAGATGTTATGAACAGTGTTTGGTTTATTGATTTCTTGAATAAATGTTTATTCAGCACATACTCTGTGTCAGGAATTATGCTAGGTGTTGGAAAGTGAGGTGAAGCGTGTGAACATGGTCACAGCCCTCCCGAAGTTTATCACGTAGAAGGGATGACACTTAAAGAAGGAATTACAATCAGGCAGTGTTGAGCCCAACAGTAGAAACCAGAGTATGTTAGAGGAACATTACACAGAGGTGTCTCCCTGGTGAGAAGCGGTCTGGGAATGCTTCCTGTAGGAGTTAACATGTGCACGGCAACCTGAAGAATGGAGAAGAATGAGCCACAGGGGAGCACTGCGGGCCACTAGACTAGCACATGGAGAGGCTGAGAGTGCGAGACAGCTTGGCACGTTCGAGGGAGTGACGGGGGTCAGTGTGGCTGGAGTGCGTGGAGAGTTGTAGAGGGTTATAGGGGGTGAGGATGGAGGAGAGAAGGGAGAAATGAGGCTGGAAAAAGTAGCTGGGCCTGACGTCCAAGGTGCCTCCCTGGTCCTACGGCACCCAGAGAGAGTCCCTTCTGCGTGGGGTTCTCGGTAGGAGGGAATCCCAGGGCCCCTCTGAATTCTAGTTCCCCCACACTTAAGAGCAAGTCGCTGCTACTCAGAACCCTGGCGTCTTTACCTACAAAAGGACACAGTGGGCCTGGCCCCATACAGAGGTGGGAGGATTGGAGATGGAGTGCCGCGTTCAGTTACCATATGGTCAAGGCTCCCCTGGAGATGCTGATGCTTTGGTGGCTGCCCAGACCTGGCCCGCAGCCCCCTCTGGCCTCAGCCGGCAGACATGGAGCCTGAAAGGCCAGCCAGCGGGCAGGCGGGAGGAGCGTCTCGCTCACGCAGCCACAGACAGAGCGCCTGTCATGTTTTCCTGACTTGGAGGAGAGGGCTTGGGCACCAAATAGACGCAGACTTGGCTCTTTATTCTGTTATCTGCTCGTTTTGTTCATCCAGGCACTCACTCCAACATAACTTCTCAGCACCAGGGAGACGCCAGGCACGGTGAGCCAGACAGGCATGACCCTTGCCGCCCTCAGAGACCTTACCATCTGGTCAGGAAGAGAGAAATTAAACAGAGAAGTACAAAAATAATCACAATTGCCAGAGGAGCTAGAAAGGACGAGTAGAGCATTACCAGGGCTCCTTAACTGTTTGGAGGTTTATGGTTTGAATATTGGCTCTACTGATTATCTGATGCGGAGGTTCCTGGACCCTTCTGTGCCTCAGTTTCCTCATCTGCAAAATGTGAGGAGTGGGGCTAAACCATGTAAGAAACGGTGGTTTTAAACTTTGCTACATCAGAATCGCCTGGCTAGACCTTAAAAATCCCAGTGCCCAGATTGTACCCACACCAACTCAATCAGGATCCCTGGGGGTGGGCCCCAGACACTTAAATTTTCTTAGAGATTCCTAGATGATAGAAATGTGCAGCCAAGTTTGGGAACCAGTGCTCTAGCCCAGGACTTCTCACACTTTCACATGCCTGTGAATCACCTAGAGTCTTGGAAAATGAAGCTTCTGATTTATTAGCTCTGGGATGGGACTGGAATGTTTACATTTCTTTTTTTTTTTTTGCGGTACGCGGGCCTCTTACTGTTGTGGCCCCTCCCGTTGCGGAGCACAGGCTCCAGACGCGCAGACTCAGCGGCCATGGCTCACGGGCCCAGCCGCTCCACAGCATGTGGGATCTTCCTGGACCGGGGCACGAACCCGTGTCCCCTGCATCGGCAGGCGGACTCTCAACCACTGCACCACCAGGGAAGCCCTGGAATGTTTACATTTCTAACAGGGCCCTGGGCAGTGGTTCTCAGCTGGGGTGATTATGCCTCCAGAGGACCTTTGGCAATGTCTGGAGACATTTTTGGTTGTCAGAACTTGGGATGGAGGGAGGTGCCGTTAGCAGCCAGAGGGTGCAAGTCAAGAATACTGGTAAACATCCCACAATGCACAGGGCAACTCCCACAACTAAGAAATTTCTGGCCCCGAATGTCAGTATTGCCGAGGACTGAGAAACCCTTTTCCAGGGTGAAGCTGATGCTGCTAGTACCACAGACCATGCTCTGAGGAGCAACAGAATCCCCTTCTCCAGTTTAGCCACAGCGACTCTGGGCTGAGCTGTCCAAGTGAGACTGAGGATTCATCACAAAGCGAGCTGACACAATGAGCAGAGATCAAATTTTGTCTTTGGTTGGGGTTTTGGTGAAAGGCAGAGAGGATTTCACTGGCCCCAGAACTTTGGTGTTAGAGGAGCGGCTGTTTGAATGTTTGTAAGGACGTAGCATTGAGAAATCAAAGGCAAACTTCCACATTTCCACCGGGTTTAAGCAGCAAAGACAAAAGAACTAAAGGAGGCAAGCGCATGAATTATTAACAGGCCCGGGTGTGAAAGTGTGGTGCAAGCCTTTTTAACACTCTTCGAGATCAGGATGAGGAAAAATGGGCTGAGACTTAATTGTTTCATTGACTTCTGCAGAGGAAACCCAGAGTCATCAAATACACAGAGTGCAGAGGAAGAATTCATGCACAACACTTTCCTCCCTTACTTTTCTGTTAAGATTAATTTGTAATTTATGGCTCTAATGACGTGCCTGGTGATGGAGTTGAGATCTGGCTGCAGGATTCCTCTCACACAGCCACCCTCGCACAGCTCTCCAAAGCTTTCCCTCCACCCCACTCCCCCTGCCTTTCTTGGGACCCACATCATTTCTCATCCGGATGAGCACGGTGGTCTCCCAATTGGTTTTCCTGCATTTACTCCGTCAGCCTTCCCTTCAAAGTATCTCCACATTGTGGCTGATGGGAGTTGCTTCAAAAGAGCATCTGATCACCCCTGCCCAGGGGAAACTGTTTAATGGCACTTCAGGCTGTGGTCAGTTAAGTTTCCTAGGGCTCCACTATCTCCTAGGTCCATGGTCCTCTAAGCGTGATCTGTGGACTCTAGTGGGTTCCCAAGAGTCTTTCAGGGGCTCTTCAAGGTTAAAACTATTTTCATAATATTAAGCCATTATTTGCCTTTATCACTGTGTTGACAGTTGCCCTGATGGCACAAAAGCCATGGGGGATGACAGTGCTGGTGCCTTAGCAGGAATCAAAGCAGAAGCATCCAACTGTACAAGTTGTCATTGTACTCTTTACTACCATGCTCTCGGAACACAGAAAACAAGCAAATAAGTAAACAAAGCATTTTTTCCTTAAGAACATCCTTGGTAAAGGGATACAAATGATTAATTTAATTAAATCTCGACCCCTGAATACACGTCTTTTAATATTTTGTGGGATGCAGCAGGAAGCGCACAGAAAGCACTTCTGCTGCCCGGCAAAGCACAATGGCGGCCTCCAGGAAAAGCACTTGAGTGAGTGCTTGAGTTGTGAGCTCAACTAGCCACTTCTCTTCATGAAACACCGTTTTCACTTGGAAGAGCAGCTGATAGATAATTATTCAGACTGGGGTATTCGGCAGACGTTTTCTTGAAAACAAAAAAGGTGGGCCTGTCACTTCAAGGAAAACAACTGACAGTATTTGTTGCCACTGCTAAAATGCAAGCTTTCAAGTGAAAATTAGAATTTTGGACAGCTTGTATCTGTAACTGTGAGCTTGACAGCGTCCCAATACTTGAATACTTTTGTGATGAGATTGATGGTATTAATAAATGTGTGTTTTTTTTAATGTGATACAAATGAAATGTGAAAATATTTAAAAGCTGCATAACTCAGAGAATCCATATTTTCCAAATGAATCATCATGAATGAGTTCAGGGACCAAAGTGCAAGATGGACCAATGGATTTTAATTGGACAGACTACAAGATGAATTATTGATAAGGTTTCAGGTTCTACATTGCAGCTAACCTTTAAGAAATACCCCTTGTTGAGTTTTGGTGTAGTATCAAACAAGACTATCCACAATTATCTGAAAAGACTATTAAAGTACTCTTCTCTATTCTAGTTACGTATCTATGTGAGTCTGGGTTTGCTTCATATACTTTAACCAAAAATTAAATTACAATGGATTGAATGCAGAAGTAGATGTGAGAATCTAGGTGTCTTCTATTAAGCCAGACTTTAAAGGGATTTGCAAAAAAGTGTTAAACGATGCCACTCTTCTGACTAAATTTTTTTTTGTCTTGAAAACTATGGTTATTTTTAGACACAGCTGTGTTATTTCTGTTGACATGTAATGGATTTAGTATTATTATTTTAAATGAATAGATAAATATCTAAAAAATTCATCAGTTTGAATTTCTAAAATGTAAATATCGATAGACATAACTCACATAAACAAAAGCTGTTTGGAGACTTCAATAGATTGTAAGTGTGTGAATGGGTCCTTAAGACCATAAGTTTGAGGTCTGCCATTTTAGACCTCACTGCTGTCGTGTCACCTCTTTGATCTTCTCGGTGCTCGGAATGATGGGCTACTATTGTTTTTAACCTGTAAATGTTTACCACCCTAGAGGGCCTTGCATTTCAGAGAGTGATCACATTGCATGATCAGCTGAAGTTTTGCAGGGCTAAGGAATTTGGGAGTTTTGGAGGCTTAATGGCTTGCAATGTGGAAAGCCATGCTGTGAAAAAGAATACCAAACAGCTGGTGGGAATTGAATGCCCACTGAGAATTGCTCTTGGACGCATTGGTCCTTCACCCTGAACTCATAGGACTTATAACTATCAACCTTCCCATTCAGGAGGAGCTGGGCTGAGCCACATGTAGATTGTTCCACAGCCCTCCTATAAAGGGTTTTCATAAAGGATGGGTTGGATTCATGGTGTTGCCTCCTCAGACTGAGCTGCTTCTTTTTTCTTCTTTCTCAGAGGTGACCCAGAAGTCACCATCAAGACCTGAGTAGACTGGTTTCCAGTGAGAACACTGCCCCTTCCACAAGCCCACCTCCTCAGAGCTGCAGGCATTTTTCAGGCCTCATCTAGCCTCCTCATGGGGTAAGTTGTCTTAGCCTGGACCAGATGGATGCCCCAAGGAAATTTGGCTAAAACGTCTTCTCCTGAACATCTGAAACTCCCATGCTCACAGGCACCCATCTGTTCCTCTTGAAAATATATCACAGCCAGTGGGTTTGGAATGATCTGGAATTTTCACTGCAAATGAAATATCTCTGCCCCATTTTCTCCGACACCCAGTTCCCACTTTCACAGTGTTTGGTTTCCTGGGAAGACAGACTTCAGTGCGATGCTAGCATTTTGGATTTCTGTGTCAGGATGGTGCCTAAATCCTGCCATTCACCCTCTTGTTCTCTAGTCTCCTGAATCAAGGTTGCTGTATGAACAAGGGCAGAGACTAAATGGAAAATGGGGAAGGGCTTAGATGGAAATCCATGCCCCATGAAATGCAGGATTCCTGCAATTAGCCGAGATTAGGCCAGGAGGCGCCAGGAAAGCTCCTTGCTTCTCCTTCCTGAATCTCTAGTCTTGTTTAACTGAACCAGAGGGTGGGATATTATAACTGTAATTCCAGAAAAAGCCAGATCAGCCACACCAGATAAAGAGGATAGCTAGATATGACGTTCTCAGACACTAGGAAGGAGCTGGCGTGGGCAGCCCAATCCTTGATGGTCCAAGTTACTTGGCTAGTGATTGGAGAAGGGAGATGGTAGAAAGGAGATGGGAAGGCTTATTCTCCTCCCACATGGGGAATAGTGCTTGGCTTAGACTGGACTGGAGGAAAAACTAAGGATAGGTCCTTCTTGGGCAGTGATTCTCAATCTCAGCACCACTGACATTTGGGCCTGGATAATTCTTTGTTGTGGTGGGGCTGTCCTGTACATTGCAGGATGTTTAGGAGCAACCCTGACCTGTAACCACCAGACACTAGTAGAACCTTCACCCCCCGCCCCGAGTCATAACCATCACAAATGTCTCCAGAACCTGCCAGTATACTGCCCCCTCTGTCTTTATGGATTTTTCTGTCCTGGATATTTTGAACCAATGGTTTCATGACATACGGCTTTTTGTGCCTGGCTTATTTCACTTTGTATAAGGTTTTCAAGATTGATCGTGTTGCAGCATCCATCAGTTCCTCATCTGTGTTCGTTGTCAAATAATATTCCACGGTGATGTGATGCATTTTATATTCCACGGTGATGTGACGCATTTTATATTCCACGGTGATGTGACGCATTTTATATTCCACGGTGATG